TATTCTGAAAATAATATCAAATTATTGAACTAGAGCAGCCATAACCTAAAAGCTGTGATAATGTTTACTATTTGAACTGGTTTAGTGGTTGATTTCGAAGTTAACTCTCAGATGTTAATAACAAGGATGCTGTGGTCTGTATAGATTTCCATATTTTTCCACCCAGTTGAGTTAAGCTTAAAAGCTGTTTCACTGCAATTTTAAGACTACATAATTAGTAGTTCCTTTGGTACTCAGTAAAAAATAGATAAAATGGAAGATAAAATCAAGATCGTCTGTGATAAACATAGCTGTGCTGGTGTCTTCTGTATTTGAATGTGCTTGTGAAAAGTTAAATCAGTGGTGTTTTGGGCAATATTAACAATTACTTTCAAAGAATGTAGAATTTATTTTGTTCTGGGAACAGCTTCCTTATTTACAGGATTTTTATTTTCTATAATAAATATATAAATAATGTTTTTCATGCTATCTTGAATCAAATTCATGCTACTGTTTAATATATAGTCACAACACATTTTTTATATTACAGGAAAACAGAAATAAACCATTCTTTTGAAAGAACTCTATGCAACTTTTGGACAAATGGCATATTGCCAAAAATAATAAAAGGCAGAAACCCTTTTAAAAAAAGAAAACAAACCAAACATGCTTGTCTTGACTACAGAAAGAATCCTGGGGTTAGCTGGGATGCACATCTACAGTGTTAGCCTTGTAGAGCGATGCCCGTCAGCCAATAAGGAGCACTGGCTTGGCCAATTGCTGAAGACTGGATAAAGTGCTGGGTGTTCTCACCTCTGGTTCCACATACCAAAAGGTGTTTGTGGCACTGTCTTTTTGAGAACTGACCAGGATTATATGCACTGTTACTAAAGATTAACTAGTTTATAGAGTAGAAATTGAGGAGTATACTTGAAATATTCTGTACACAGTTCAGAGGAAGGACATGAAATGGTGCAAATGGTGTTGAGTGGATGGTGGTATTGAGATTGTCTGCTTGTTCTTGAAAGCACACATTTGTAAACTGTGGAAGAGGGGGACGAAGAATGCAAGATAGAATTAGGTTCTAAAATGATTTTTTAAATCGAGACTGCTCTTTAAGATTAAACTGAGGATCAAGTCAACTTTATGGGTTATGTCATAAAACTCAATATGGATTCAGTTTGGTTTAATATTACAATTTGACCTGGGGCATTCTCTGTGGAGACTCTGCGCCTTTACCTAGTTCTTTAATTTCTTGATGTTATGTTATTGCTTCACATTCAAGATTGTGATGTCATGATTTCCAGTGAGATTTCTCTTGGGATGAATCCATAAGTAGTTGTTTAATACAAGTTACAGAAACAGTGGTTTACATTAGAATAGCATATGACAGTAAGAAGTTTTTCTTTAGAGTAGCATCTCTATATTTTTTTTATATTTGTGCTATACTGTGAGTCCTTTACTTTTTTAAAAACTATCAGTAGCTTTTATTATTGAGACTCATCTTTGATGTTAGCAAAGCTTCACAGATGTTGGCTTCTAGAAATTGGTTTATTTCAATAAAAGAAAAATTTCATCTTTTTTCTATGTCTGTTCCTTAAACCATTTTTATCTCAGAGTACATGCATTAATAAGATCATTCATTTAACCAAGTACATGCATTAATAAGGTAAAATAAATTTGAACCTTTGTGACTTTTTAATCTTTGAATTAGGTTTGAAAGAATGAAATATTGGAATTTTTGCCAATAAATTTAAATAAAAATTGAATAATTTGAACTAAGGGTAGAATTAAGTGATGACACTTCAACGTTGACTATGATGATTTGGTGTATTACATTAGGTATCTTCATGTAATTTTTAGGAAGAGTAGGATTTTTATGAGCAGTAATTCAGAAAAATGTGAGTCTACTTAATGGAATACTTTCTCTTTAAGACTATTTATACTGACAGTGTTTTTTTTCCCCCTTCTGATAGCCTTTCTGGAATCTGGAACCTTTTTACTCACTGTCATTTTTTTCTTAGTTTCAGCTCAGACTCTGAAGAGCAACCTTGATTCGATGAACCATCAGATCCAGCGCCTAGAAAATGACATTAAGAATTTCCCTAAAACACAAGATGAGCACGATAAGTTTGTAGAAAAGATGACCATATCCTTTTTGCACGTCTTTGTTGGTGATCTGAACATTCTGATCATCTGGCTAAGTATTTACAACACTTGAAAATAAGTTTTAAGTCTCTTCTTCCATGTTTTTATTTTAACACAGGGAAAACGACAACAGAACATGCTGTATGTAAGAAAACATACAAGAGCATAACTTAAAGTATTTATAATCAGACTTCCAAGGGGGAAACCAGATAGCTTTCTTGAAGGATGTATTTATAGTGACTGATCATAAAGATAGTAGTATGGGGTTTTCTGCCTTAAATAATGGTATTTAATAATAATTGCTGAATCATTTCAATCTAGAAAACTATCATCAGTAGAATTGAGAGTATTTTAGTTTAGCTTCAGACGTGTTAGTTTTTAAAGGGGAGAGTATTAATTTTTTTAGTAATTTTTATTCATTTTTTAAAACATAATTTTAGAATTTTTTTCCTAATTTTTTGTACTCGAGTGATTTGTCCTCTTATTTCTGTAGGGAATAGAGACTGTAGGTTCTTTAAGCATTATTAAGTAAAATCTGTGGGAGAATACCAAATCATGTCTCTCTAGCCCATTTTCCCTCCAAAATTTTCATATATTCAGCTTAACTTTTACTCAAGAATATGAAGTAACAAGTCAAGTATACTATAGATGCAAGAAGCTCACAAAACATTGAGAAAGAATTAAACAGAAGTCATTTTTTTCTTAAAATAAATTAGCAGGATTTATGCATGGAAGCATAGGGTATGGTACATGACCAAGTCCAAAGCATTTTGTGTATTTAGAGAAGCTCTGCTAGTTCATCTGCAATCTGTTTTTTCTTGCTGCAACCAGACATAAGTCATGGTTTTGTGGGTTTTTCAAAGGGGAGACAAAAAAAAAAGGTGGTTGTCTAGAGACAATCATACCTGCTCATCACAGTTAGTAGGTGGATGTAGTGGAGAGGTTCTAGCTACTGTGTATTCGGAAAGTAAATTTTAGCAGGATTAACCATCTAAATGGATTCAGTGACGAAATTTCACAAGAAGATATTAAATATCTTCCCTATATGAATTTACTTTAAGTTTCTGACAAGACTGTAGAAAAGTAGCTTAGGGGAGACAACTCATGACTAAGTGGAAAATTGTTTCTTGTATCTTCTTCCAACTTCTCTTATTTGCGAGGTAAAGAGACTTGCTAGTAATCACATTTATTAGTTCTGGTATTTAAAACAAAACCAACTTATTTCCTTGAGATACATTCACATCAAAAAAATCTTACTATGTTGTCTTGTAATTGTCCTGTGCCTTATCGTCATCTGCATTTGCTCAATACTCTTAAGTAAGCCCCACTTTTGTTTATAAATGAAACCAACATATTGAAATGCACCTTTTGCAAGGTGTTTTCTTGTTAAGCTGACGACTCATTTACAGGTTATATTAAGTCAAAACAACTGAAAAAATGTATACTTTACCATTTGTTGTTTTACTACCTGTGTATTTATTGTACTTATAAAAATGGCTGGCATCACTCAACTGATTTGGTGAGAAATAAGAGCCAAATAGGTTTGCCTCCTTCTGCTTTTTGCTTTATCACCTCAGTTTCTTAAAGAAGAAAGATTGACGATGCAGAAGAGTTCAAAAAGAAAAAACGTAGTAGTGCTTTTTTGTATTTGCAAAAATAAGAGGATCCTATGAATTTTTGAAAATTAATTGCTGAAAGTCTCCTGGGAAGCCTTGATTCACTGCACACGTACACTGATGTCACCGCTAGATTACCGATTCCTGGTAATTAAAATAGGCACCCTGAACTGTAGATGTCCAGCAGCTTTTATCATACCAGTGAATTTAACGGCTTGACTAAATAGGTAAAACTGTAGGAAATGAGCTGATTCCACCTAAGGATTTATGTTTTCATAATTAATAGATGACCTGATACATGGTGTTTTTCTTTTCTAGAAAGTAATTTCCAGTTATGTCAAGTGATCAAATTTGATTTTGCTTATAACTGAATGTTTTTAAGTTGTTTGCACTCATGTGGTTTGGTTTTTTTGACTGCAAAACAAATGTTAAGGGGTAGGAGGGAAATTACATCTTAATCTTCAGTATGTATTTCTTTTGTTACTGTCAGCGTCTTGAAGAATTGTTGCTGATAGCACATACTGAGATTAGAAAGTTAATGAATGTTAGATTGAACATCTCTAACTGCTTGAGCATTTCAGAAAATTTGAGACATCTCTGAACATAAATAATCTCTCAGAGTTTTAGGATGCAGGAATTATATCATAATTAATGGCATAATTTCCC